GAGAGGAAGGAGCGAAGCTGGGAAGCAACAACTTGTTCCAGGACCTTGGAGAGGAAAGGAAGGTTGGAGATGGGGCGGTAGTTTGAGAACAGGAATGGGTCCAAGGAGGGTTTTTTAAGGATAGGAATGATGACGGCTGTTTTTAAAGGGGTGGGAACGGTACCAGTGGACAGAGATAGATTTATGATGTCTGTGAGTAGAGGGGCAAGAGGGAGATTAGGAGAGAGGTAGGGATGGGGTCAAGGGAGCAGGTCAAACAATTTTTAGTCAGAGTCATAGACACAGGGCTATTGCCGACAGGCTCGACTTGTATATCTGCTTCCTAAATCATCAGAGCCTCATTGGGTTGGGTTGTCTGACCTTTTCTTCATCTGCGTGGTGTTGTGGATTGTAAGAATTCAGAATAACAATTTCAGGCAATTTGCCTGAAAGAGATTTGCAAATTAGGCTGACGTGCTAATGATGGAAGTAAAGCTTCCCTAACTTTGTTTAAGCTTCACTCCAGGTTATCTCCTTAAATCTGAGACACAACCTGCGTGATGGGCAATGGGTGATGCATGTGTTTCTTCCAAGGATTTTGACTCCTAATGCAATGCTGTTGAATATTGAATATTCATGCTAAAGCATATGTGTATATCGCCGGTGTGAAGTATTGGAAGTAATGTGACTTACACGGTCATCTCTTGGTTAGAACTCACATGATGCCTATATANTTTTTAAAAAGTTGGCTGTTTTTTTCTTTTTAGTATTTTGAACCAATAGTAAAATATTTTCACTACCTCGTACACCAAACCAACATGCCACTGTGCAGCAGCCAGTTCATTCAGGTGTTCAGTTAGTCCTCGGTAGTACACATGGCTGCATTTCACCTCCGCAAGCACCTGAAATAAAACAAATTTTCTTTAAAGAGCAAGAAAAGGAATAAATATTGAAATACGTTGTTGCTGTTGAGACTTGTGGAAGAAAATGAGCCTGCGGCAGGACGTTGGTTGCTGAAATACATTCATTCCCAGGATACATTCACAGTCCTTTCTACGATTACATTTATACATGTGGACTAAAATGTGCTCTCAATATTCAAGATGTTCGGATGCTTTTATTTAACAATCTAGAGGTGGATCTCCTGAGATGTGCTCCCATTTACTGCCCTCTTTTTTAAAGCGGAGGTCACCATACATAATGAAAGTTAAAATCTTGCATTAAGTTAACCTTTCAAGTAGCTCCAAATGTATGCACGGAGCACCATTATAAATGTTTTAATATTGTGGTGGCAGGTCAGTCTCCTTGGAGAATCCATACGGTTCAAAGTCATTTTTAGAAAAAGTTGCTAGACGGTGCTAGCAGAACTTCGCAAATGGAAATAAAATGGAATCTGAGCCAAGAATTCAAATGGATCCATTTGAAAATATTATTTTTTAAAAATTGTAAAACCTCAATTACTTGCATTATTTCATCAATACATCGTTCCGGGCAGTGGAGATACAAACGTGTTTTTCTAATCCTTCATTTCATCATCACCTTCCCACAAAATAAATTGAAAAAAATATTCAGCCCTCCTGATTAAAGAATTTACTTCACACTTCGGCCTACTATCATAGTCTTCACATCAGCCAGAGGCTGGTACAATGGCTGAACATTGTAATAAAATACCAAACATGCAACTCAGTTTCCTGATTTTCCTCCCTGCTTGGTGCTTCATATTATCTCCGAAAACACTTTGATGTTCATCCTTTGTGAAATACCCTAGTTTATGTTGTTGATGTACAAAAGATATTTCTTGCTCCCTGTCACACCTGTGACAGAGAGACGTGCCTACCACCTACACATGGAAATTTGTGTGTTTTGGAATGGAATGCACGCACTCCCTGGTGGGACACATCCTGCTTCCCTAATTCCAGAGAGTATTACTCCCTTGGCTACATTGCGTCACTCCTTGGCACCTCCCTACCACCCTGACCTCCTCACTCCTCAATCCACCCACCATCACCTCCGCTCGACTGCCACCAGTCTCCTGCTCGTCCCTTGCACCCTCCGCCCTGCCATTGGAGGTCGTGCTTTCAGCCACTACGCCCCAAAATCTGGAACACTCTTCCTCAGCCTTCCACCTTGCCCCCTCTCTCCCCTCTTTCACGTCCCGACTGAAACTTTCCTCTGCCACTGTTGAGCGCTCTGAGACACTACTCTGCTTGGAGGATGCTATATAAGTGCAAGTTGTTGCTGTATTAGGCTGAGAGGTAGAAAGAGACAGCTTGGGTGTACATTTGGGTACTGTTGGAGTTTAAACTCTGGCAAGCTTGTTGTCCAGCTTGACCAGCTACCCATTAGGGCTTTGGCTTGCAGGGTTAACAGGAGCTGAGTTGGGAGAACCCCTGCCCCCAGTGACTGGTCTGCGCCTTCAAGTCCTCCCGATAAGCTGGGCCAATAGAAAAATGTGGCTGCACCTTTCCCGCTACAACAACCCCGTCTGCTACAAACCCGCCATCAATGCAGTTTCTGGCCCGCGGGCCGCTCGCGGCTCCGGATGCACAAGCACAGTGCGGCGCAAGCGGAAAATGGGCTACACTCACACGCTGTTGTGATTGTCTGTGTGTGTGTGTGTGTCTCTGTGGGTGTATCTATGTCTCTTCTATATATGTGTGTGTCTTTGTGTGAATGTGCATCTCTGTGTTTGCATGTCTGTTTGTGTCTGTGAGTGTGTCTCTCTCTGAGTGCGTATGTCTCTGTGTCTATGAGAGTGTGTGTGTGTCTCTCTCTGTATATGAGTGTATGTGTCTCTGAATGTGTGCATCTGTGTGTGTGTCTCTCTCACTCTGTCTCTGTGTGTGTGTGTGTGTCTCTCTCTGTCTCTGAGTGTGTGTGTCTCTCTCTGGGTCTGTGTGTCTGGGTGCTGTGCTGGTCCTGAGAGGCAGGACAGGGTGAGTTCCTGTAGCCTCGCTGGTGTGTCTCGTTTCCACAAAAAATGGCCATCCAGTTTTTGTTAAAGAAGCAATTTTTTTTTTGCAAAACAATCTAATATGTGTTATTTCCTTATCTTTAGTTTTTATCAAAAAAAGTGGAAAAATGTAGCAGTAAAATATACCTCAAAAGCACCAATCAACCCCTATAATTTCCCTGCAAAATTTAGCAATGACCTCCGCAATTTCACACAGGATTCGTAAAGCGCTCTGCAGTTTTTCCGCAAATATGTCCGCACTTTTCTATTGCCCCAGCCAATAAACCAGATTCGCTGTGCTGTTATCAACAGTGTCCTTGACCACAATGCCACTAATAATGGAGTAAACTGTCTGTTCAATGTGGGTAATAAGACATTAGTTTAAATTCTGGATGGAATAATGTATGTTCAAATGATGAATGAGTGATTGTATCTTTCTTTTCTCCTGGGGTATACAAGTATTCTCATTAAAAATTGTGTTGATGTAAAGTCTTTGGGGATGTTTTTTGGCCGTTCAGAGTGTGAATGGAATGGCCCAAAGGGTCACAAGGGAGATTGGGATATGCCAAAGAATGGGATATGATCCGTTTGATCCTTCAAGAATACCCACAGTCCTATATTTTCACCTGATTAGGCATACGGGACCTCAGTTTAATGTCTCATCCAAATTCGGTACCAATGACAGTGCAGCTAACCCCAGCACTTGCTCCCGAGTCAGAATGTATTAGGTTCCAGCCCTGCTTTGGGGCTTTGAACTCAGTCTAGACTGACTCTAATACAGTGATGTAGGAGTTCTTTTTTGGAGGTAGTGTCAATCAGATCCTTCTTGCCTGCCTGTTCAGGTAGATGTTAAAGATAATAGTAATCCTTGCATTTGATATAGCCCTTTTCACGCCTTCGAGATGTTTCAAAACGCTTCACAGAATACACTGTAAAGTGAATTGACTGTATATTTTGTAGGCAAAACGTGGCAACCAATTGTTGTGCACAATAGCGTCCCAAAAACAGAGGATTGAAATGACCAATTTATTATTATTTTAGTTTTTTGAAGGAATTATTACTTCTGGAAAAGCGATTCGCCAATCAGGTTGTTAGTCGACTGTTGTATGACTTTTGTAAGATCATATGGCAATACCCTGGCATATCCTGGAGCGCTGTAGCTCGGTGGATAGAGCACACTCGCCTCACAAGCAAGGGACCTGGGTTCAATTCCCGGCAGGGTGAAACCTTGGGAAGTTTCCTTAATCCACATGCCTGATAATAATCCCTCAAGAAAAATAATAAAATAAAATAATAATTTGCACTCATTCCACGACAATTTATGGGATACTGGTGTGTGTAATTGGCTGCCACGTTTTGCCCACAAAATATACAGTCAGTTCACTTTACAGTATGGTCTGTGAAGCGCGTTGAGACATCTAGAAGACATGAAAAGTGCTATATCAAATGCAAGGATTATTATTATATTAATACAGTATATGAAAAGAGAGTGGAGTTTTTCCATCTGTTCTGTCAAATACCCCTGATAAATTTATCATTTGCTTCATGGCTTTTTGTGGGATTGCTGTGTGCAAATTGGATTTTCATAGTCACTAAGATTTAAAGTAAATCCTGTGAAGCGCTTTACAGATATAATTCTGGCTTGCTATATCAAATGTAAGGATTATTATGTATTATATGAGAGAATTTGACCAATGGTAGAAGAAGGTTGAGCAGGAGCACAGATGTTTGAAGAATAACTGTTAAAATAGATTTGCCAATGTGATTTGACTTAAGTGCGTAAACGGAATGGAAATGATGTGAGCAAGCAAAACATGTCTTTGATATTGATCTGTCAGTTTAAGGTGTGAACGGTGGCATTGTGTAACTGATACCGTGGTGCAATATTATTGTAAATCGTCAGAGAATGGATAATAAATGCAGAATCAATCCTGTATGTGCAATAGGCTTTATCTGTGTTGTGATTGAGATAATGAAACTTACAATAATTAATGCTGTGCACACATACTGTGATCTGTTTCCTAGTTGCAATAAGGTATGAAAACATGCCTTTTTTTTATTCTTGCAGGTTATAATGCTATCCAAATGATGGCTATTATGGAGCATGCATATTATGCCAGTTTTGGTTATCAGATTACCAGCTTCTTTGCTGCATCAAGGTATGGATTTTTTTTAATATGGAATATATACATATGAGCGATAGTCTCTTTTTATAAAAATCCTTGTATTTAATATTAAGCATGTATTTAATATTAAGCATGTAAAATCAGATCATCTCGAACTTTTCACAGGTAATTGCTGTCAACTGTGGTATCCTTAATTGGCAAACACTGCACCTAAATTGTGCACTGCAAGGTCCTACAAACAGCCATGAAGTAAATGTCCAATTAATTTAGAGGTTTGTTGGCCAGGACACTGCAGAAACTCCTTTCTCTTTTCAAATGATGTCAGGGGATCTTTTAACATCTTCCTGAAGAAGTAGACAGTTTAACATTTCGGTTATATATGTGTAGGGCAAGCATCAGTGAGTATTTCATTATCTAAGGTGCTTTAATAATTTGAGCAGGGTTGCCAGGAAGGGTGGTTGAAGCCTGGACACTGGGAGACATTTAAGAAACAGCTCTTTGCAGCAATGGGAGGACGATAGGGTAGGTGAGATCACATGGGCTGAAGGGACATCTTCATCCCAATCTCTGTTGTGTTAATGAAGGTGATCGCTGTTTTGTCATTGCGGACTCATTGTCATTTGTCATTTGTGGAATCCTGTAACTCAGTGATTAGAGCACTCACCTCACAAGTGAGAGACCTGGGTTCAATTCCGGGCAGGTCGAAACCTTGGGCAAGTTTCCTTACTCCACACACCTGATAGTAATCCCTCAAGAAAAAAAAAACAATAATAAATTGGTCACTTCAATCCACGACTGTTAATGGGACCCTGCTGTGCTCATTGGCTGCCATGTTTCATCCACAAATATGCAGTCAATTCAATTCAGTATATTCTGTGAAGCGCTTTGAGTCGTCTAGAAGACGTGAAAAGTGCTACATCAAATGCAAGGATTATTATTATTGCACCTCAGTTTGTATTGTTAATGCCATATATTGATCTAATCAGTTTGGTTTGGCTGCTGGCACTCTCGCCTTGTGATCAGAAGGTTCATTACAATGCTGGTGTTTGCTTTGAGCACAATTATAGATTGTTTTGTTTTCTAAAAGCAAATCTGTAGGAAATAGGATCAAGGAGGTTTAAAGCTCAGATGGGGGCCAGTTGACTCGTGCATGTACCAGAGATCTTAAACATTGTTATTTCTAATATTCTGTTGCTAACTACACCAAGACCCATTTGTTCACACTTGGTTGCAATGAAGAACAAGATATGTTTTCTCCCCTTGACATACTCATTGGGTAATGGCTTGAAATTGAGTAAAGTATTGAAGCTCCAACACACTGCAGTATGAATCACGAGTGCAAGCCTGCAACCTACCATTGCATAGCACAGAGCTTTGAAGCCAAGCTGTTTTGAGACCGACTGCTAAACATTTCCATTATTTTGTCTGCTTGCATCATCCACCAACAGAAGAACATGTCAGCCTCCTACAGATGTTGTCTAACCAGCCTCAACAAGTTAGTGTGTTGAGAAACATTTCCTGCTGACCTCTTGATGACTGGCATGGGATGCTGCAGCTGAGTATAGTCCATTCTCCCAATCCAGCGAAGCCCTTATTGTCACAGTTCTGCTGGGATCAGTACGTTTGGCAGATGTTCAGAATATTTATTGAAAGACTATGCCATTAAGTTAATGAGACCTAGTTGACTCATCTCATATTATTTTATAGGATTTTTATAATCCAGATGATGAAACACTCATGTGGTTTACTTCAGAATGCTTAGGCTAGGCTACGGTTATATTTTCAACAGTCTAAATTAGTTTTGCCATGGGTTCCAGCTATTTCAATGGGACCACTAATCTAATTGAAGCTGTTTCTGGTGGCCTATAAACTTTCCATCTGCTTTAGGGTCAATGTTCGCGTACCTCTGGACAGCAATCAGAACTGTTTTTTTTCCCTCCTTGGCACATTGACTATGAGGATGCTTGTAGTTAAAATGAAGGATATTTTGAAGGAAAACTGAAATTGTAGTGAAGGTTGAGACTTTGTTTTGAGGAGGTACTTTTCCCCCTCCTGCCTTGACTCTTGATCTATTCCATCTTCCCACAGCAACACTGCTGGGATTAGACCCAAAGCATACTGATCATTTGCGGAGGAAGCATGATTGTTTAGTTGGGGGAAAATATGGGGAATTATTTATTGTTTGCGAGATGCTCTGAAATATCAGTCCCTGCTGGTAAGAAAAAATTCAAATGGTTCTTGGCTTTGAGCCCTGCATGTTCTTTTGAGTAATGATTTCATTCAACAATAACCTGCTTGGGATGGCTTCTCTGTGAAGATCCATCTTGCATTTAAAGATCAGTCATTTTAAAGATGAATCGGAGAAAGACTTAGCATTCTGTTATTTACAAAGACTATTGTTTTCAGCCGCTACGGGACTCCCGATGAGCTGAAGCAGTTAGTGGACACCGCTCATTCAATGGGGATTGTGGTTCTGCTTGATGTGGTGCACAGCCACGCTTCGACAAACACAGATGATGGACTGAATGAATTTGACGGAACAGACTCCTGCTTTTTCCATTCCGGATCCCGTGGAACTCACACACTATGGGACAGCCGGCTTTTCAACTACTCTCAGTAAGTGCCTTTACATATCTTGTTTGGCTCATTATAAAATAATTTACTCCTCCCTCTCTACCACTTTTTAACTTATTCTTCTGATGTGGCTAAGTTATTGACACAAATATAAGATCTAAAAGATCTAGGGGATCTGAAGGAGAATTCAGGAGAAACTACTTCATGCAGAGGGTAGTGAGATTGTGGAACTCGCTGCCTGAAGCGGTGGTTAAATCAGATAGTGCAGATGCAATCAGAGTAAGCTAGACTTTCACATGATTGAGAGAGGAAATAGAAGGATGAGGGAGGTAACAAGAGTGGGTGGATACTGGTACGGAGTATAAACATTGCCACGGACTGGTTGGGTCAAATGGCCTGTTTCCATTGCTGTAAACTTTGTATCCATCCCAAGTTTTGCAAAGAAGATGGTTGGGTTGGGTGGGGGGGTGCTATTCTTTAAATTTGCTGCAGTCCTTGTTGTGAGGTGCTTCAACAATTATGCTGGGTAGAGATTGCCATAGCTTTGACCCTGTGGTACATGTTCCAGTTTAGGTTGTTGAGTGATGGGGAGGGAAACAGGTGGGGTTGCCATCAGTGTTCTTCTTTTGAATGGTGGAAGTTGCAAGGATGGGATGTGTTGATGGAATGTGGCCGCCGTGGGCAGCGTGCCCGCTGAGTGTATTCTGCAGTGTATTCTGCATTTAGTGTACGGTGTGGTGTGACACTGCTTCTTCCCTCCTTTCATTTTCTCCTCTCCTTCCTCCCTTTTTCTGCCGTAGTTGATTTATGTGATAACTATCACAAATTGACTGGTCTGCAGGATTTTAGCCCAAGTCCTGCTGTTCGATCTGAAGATATTCTTTGTATCTCGCTTTTAATTAATTCCCCAAGGAATACTTTACATGGATTTATTTTTTAAATGAAGCACTTTCAGGAGGGGAATGAAATGAGAAACGGTTTGCTTGAACTTCTGTCCTCTTAAAACATCTTTTTTTGCTGAGATTGGAATAATTTTTCCTCAATGGTAAATGTTCCAAACTGAAACATTTTTTGTCCTTGTTAATCCCCAGCTATCAATCCTACTATTGAGTTTGCAAAGCTTGATCTTCATCAAAGCGTTTGATGAAGAAGGTACCTTTTTGGTGGAGGGAGATGTATTATTTCTTTTAAATGAAACATTTTTCAAGCTTGCTTGACGTTTAATGTATTGTAGTGATGATAGCTTCTAATGGGATGCCAAGTTAGTTAATGAGTGGTTAGTCACTTCTTTTGTTTTGCTGCTCGCAGTCTGTGGTTTGATTTTAAGCATTTCAAAAGAAGGTAAGAAAATGTTTCCTGCTGATAAAACCACCGAGTGTTGGTGCTCAGCTCTGCAGACACAGATTTCATACTTTGTCGTGTGTGCTGAGTTAGCTGATCTCAGCCACAGCTTTTAACTCATACTTTGAGGGAAGGGGTTGATCTGCTAGAGTTAGTGTCCATGACACAATGACTAACATTTATATAACCCTCTTCACATAGATAACGTTTCAGAACAGTTTACACCAAGCAAGTGAGAGCAGCGGGGAGGCGGAGATGGCCATAAACATGTTCATATAGAGGGAGGATCTCAAATCCATTAAAAAAATGCAGCGAGACATAATAGGTTAGAGTCCCGTAGCGGCTGAAAACAATAGTCTTTGTAAATAACAGAATGCTAAGTCTTTCTCCGATTCATCTTTAAAATGACTGATCTTTAAATGCAAGGTTAGGTGATTGGGCAGGTAGGTGGCAGCTGAAGTATAATGTAGGGAAGTGCGAAGTCATGCACCTAGGTAGCAAAAACAGTAGAGCGGGTTATTTTTTAGAAGGGGAGAGATTGGAATGTGTTAGCGTCCAGAGGGACTTGGATGTCCTTGTACACAATCACAGAAAGTTAGTCTGCAGGTGCAGCAGCAATTAGGAAGACGAACGGTATGTTAGCATTCATTATGAAAGGATTAGATTATAAGAGTAGGGAAGTCTTGCTGCAACTGTATAGGGCCCTAGTGAGACCACACCTGGAATACTGTGTGCAGTTTTGGTCTCCTTATTTAAGGAAGGATGTACTTGCCTTGGAGAGGGTGCAGCGTAGATTTACTAGGTTAGTACCAGAGATGAAGGGGATGAGTTACGAGGATAGGCTGACCAATTTGGGCCTATATTCTCTAGAATATAGAAGAATTAGAAGGGATCTTATAGAAACCTATAAGATCATCAAAAGGCATGATAGAGTAGATAGTGGGAGATTGTTTCCCTGGTTGGAGAAACTAAAACTAGGGGTCACAACCTTAAAATCAGAGACCAGCCCTTTCGTACTGAGTTGAGGAAGAACTTCTTCACTCAAAGGGTGGTGAATGTATGGAACTCACTACCCCAAAGGGCTGTTGACGCTCAGTCCTTGAACATATTCAAGACTGAGATAGATAGATTTGTTATTGCAAAAGGGATTAAGGGATATGGGGATAAGGCAGGGATATGTTATTAGCTGGAGTTAGATTAGAAGATCAGCCATGATTGAATGGCGGTGCAGGCTCGAAGGGCCGAATGGCCTACTCCTGCTCCTACATGTTATGTTATAGAAATCCATACAGTACAGAAGAAAGCCTTTGCCCATCGTGTTTTTTGATGACTTTAAAAACAGCAGTTTTTCAGTCTCATTTACCTGCTCTTTCTGCATACCCTTGTAGTTAACTCCTGGTTAGATATTTATCTGGATACCCATTGAAAACAAATATGGATTTACATTTGCTTGTTGATCTTAAATGAATGCCCTCTAGTCATTGACTCATTGACTAATGGAAATAACTTCTCCATATTGACTCATCAAAATCCCTCTTCAAATCCCTCCACTCCTCTGCACCATCCCCTACCTCTCTGACTTCCTCTCTCCTCACAACAGTGCCTGCGGCCTTCGCTCCACCGAGTCTGGCTTCCTCCTTGTCGCCTGAATCCTCCGCTTCACCATCAGCGGCTGTGTCTTATGAGGCTCTGGAACTCCCTTCCTCACTCCCTCCACTTCATCCCCTCTCTTCCCACTTTCAGGTCTCGGCTGAAGACCTTTCTTTTTGACCGCGCCTTTGGTCACCTTCCTCTCCCTCCCCCTGGCTCGGCCCCGGGAACCATTACTGTGAAATGCTCTGAGACGCCGTCCGGCGTGGAGGGCGCTATTCTTATTGCCTGTGTCTGTTTGTGGGTGTCTGTGTGTCTCTCTCTGTGTTTGTGAATGTGCGTGTCTCTTGCACAGGCGTGTCTCTGTGCCTGTGTACGATAATGGCCTGAGAGGCAGGAGGTGGTGAGCTCCTGTAGACTCGCTGGTGTAACACCCCACTCACCACTCACCCCCCGCCAAAACAAAACGGCCACTCAGTTTATGTTAAAGAAGCAATTAATATATATTTTTTAAACAATCTAATATGTGTTATTTCGTTACGTTTATTTTTAATTAACAAAGTGAAAATTGAAGGTTGGCAGTAAAATCTACCTCTATAGCACCAGCGCCCAAACCCACCCCCATGCAATTTTCCGGAGGATATGTAAACCTCCCCGCAATTTGGGGGCAAATATTTCCGTACTTTTCTATTGGCCCATAGCTCATTCCTCTAACACTGGGGAACATCCTCGTTTTCTCTCCTCTGCAATGTCTTTAGGGCTTGGGCCCTTATTTCACGGTGGGCAGGGGGAAGGAATTCCAGAGGTTAGAGATGTAGAAACTGAAGGCCCGGCATGATAGCCGCTCATTGGGGCATCCGTCCCAATTGTTGATCCGTATTGTTTTATTGAGGCTTGGATGCTATCCTTCAGGATAGCGCTTAGGGCAAAGGGCTATCTGGTTTTCCTCATCTCTCTTCAATGCTAGTAAAGCATTTTAAGCTTGTGGCTAATGAGATGTATCCAAACAGTTCTCCTTCATGGTTCCGAGCTCCTAGGGATGCTGCAGACGGATTTCCTGCGACGGCCATTCGCAAAATCCAAGACCATGCAATGGCGAGGAGAAGCTGCTGCTGGGAGGGCTCCAGCCTACAGTGATCGGTCGCTCAGCAGGTGCCGTCAGCTTCATGGCAAGCACTTATTTGATATGGATTCTAAAAAACGTTTTTGAAACCAGCGTTTGTCAGATGTTGAATAGCTAACCAATGAATGTCCCCTTTTTGGGGCCGGCAGACGTAAAACGAGTCCGAGTTGGCTCCCAGGTCATGTGTTTGCTAACCGAACACTGGAATCAGGTTGACCTCCTGGGTTGGTCTTAGTAATTTGTTTCCTGAGCCAGGTGGGTTCGCACTTCTGGCGTTGTTAACAGATTAGCTAGCTTGGCTCGATGACAGGACTTAGAACAATGATATAGCACTCTTCACGCGGGGTAGAAACTCAGAGCACTTAAAGGGGTCATCAGGAGCAGGAACTCTGCCCACTCTGCTAAGTATACAAGCCAAAGGCTTGTCGGGTTCCTGGCTGGACAAGCAGCAGGAAGCTTACTGGACACTGCTCCACTTGGCAAGCTATGTGATTTTACCTGGGTAAACTCCGGCTGCCGCCAAGCAAAACATCTGGAATCCTTAAGCCTTGACTCTTACCAATCTGCACCTGCTTTCCAAAATTAGGTAAGCAGGGTGCAGCCCTCCAGGGAGAAATCACACACTCTTTTCCAGACCAAGGGAATTCTCTATGTGTCTAGGCATATAAAAGTGGAGCTCTGTTTGATTTGGATTCTCTGAAGCTGGTGATGGGTTTTCACATGTATTAGGTGGAAACATGACTGACCAATGATAAAGTAGAGAAAAACACCAGCCGCGATTCAGTGGGTCAAACGGCCCATCTCTGTTCTATAGCATTCTCAGATGTTAAGCTAAATCAACTGCAACACTCGCTGACTAGGCTCACACATGGAAAATGCCTGGTTACTGGCGAGGTGCCTGTGCAACCACATCCCAGCATGAGTTGGTGCATTCAGAAAGAAGGGTTAACTATTGGAGAGGAATTGGATTTTCTAACTTGAGTCAGAA